ACTGCTAGGGCCTACTGGCAGGAGATCAAGGCGACTCTGACCGATCCGAAGGAGATCGCTACTCACCCCGCGAGATTTGCCTTAGTTGAGATTGAGAATATACATGATGATGGATTGGCCTTCGAAGCGATTCATAGGCTAATATTTGATGCTCACGGAGGTAGCAGAAAATTTATCGCAGAAATGACGGAGTTTTTGGAGAAGCAAGGCTGTGGCCCAGTGACTGTCGGCGAGAGCGAGGAGGATTTCAAGAGAGCCGTCCAGGGTGAGGTCTCTGGCCACAGTTTTGGCTATAAGGTTGATGGTGTGAAGGGTGGGGTTTTTATTGCAAATCCTAAGAAGGTCTTGGATGTTGCTACTGTGATGGACTTCGTGGATCCTTACATGAAGAAAAATGAGGCTAATGGGACTAAGATTGATTACGTGCATGGCTTGACAGCAATTGAGAGGTCAGTGTTTGGGCGTGATTTCGTCGAGGAGTGGTATCAGAATGTTGCACGCATGTACATGAGTTATTTGTCAGGTACTGCTCAGCTGGTACGGCCAACGTTGGTATTGTGCTTCCCGATATGCACAAGTCGGATCTTTTCAAGACTGTTGTTCACGACGGTGCGCTACCTCGGAAGACCTTCAGCATGGGCGAAGCTGACGAGAAGCGATTTTATTACGAGTGCAGGAAGATCCGCAAGGACTGAGATCTGCCGCTATCCCGTGTGAGAGGAAATTATTCATAAAATTGTCTATTCTAGCTATATGTAGATTGTACTCACTCATCCATCCTGTAGTTGCAAACTTTTTTCTGCGTTTACTAGGAGGTCCTTGTCATCATTAATGCTGTGTGCTTCGTGATGTTATTCACCTGCTGAATCGTCGCTATCACTCTATGGTAGGAGTATTTTTTATAGTTGATTTATCATCTGTCAAGACTATAGTGTCAGTGTTGTGATGGTATGTGGTAGTAGGCGTAAAGCCGAGTTTATCGAGGTTGTGGCAGTTTCATGTGAAGTTGAGGCGTTCGTTTGAGTTTTCACGCGAGTATGACAACTATGTGTTGGTTCATATAGCCACCAGCTGGGAAATGGAAGGATGTTTTCACTGGTTCAATGGAGTTTAATCACCGGGTTTTACGTGAAGTGGCGTAAAACTCGGTGAAAACGCGATATTCGCGGCTGTAGTAGTCGTGAAATATGT